TTTGAACTTTTGGAGATTATATGTAGTTGGGAACACTTCCACAGGTAATGAATTCCAGAGCCTAGCCGTTCTATGGATGAAGGAGTCTTGATAAAGTGCTGTTCGACATCTTTCCAGGTTGAGAACAAAAGGATGTGCTGACTGGGCTTGTCTAGTTCGTCTGATTGGTAATGATAGTGAAGGGATGATAGCAGAGATTTCCGAAGAACATTTCCCGTGGAAGTATCGATAGAAAAGTGAAAGGTCGCCGACCTTTCTACAGTGTTCCAATGATGTCAAAGAGTGAGTGAGTGTGACGTTGGGTCTTTTCTCTTGATTGCTGCTATCCACATTGCTCTTCTTATTCTTGATAGATATTTTATCTGTGGATAATGCGCAGAGTTTTTCACAGAATCACAGTAGGAATGTGAAAAAACTGAGCAAATTTTCCCGATCTGCACGGCTTCCACTATCCAAGCGATAAAAAAAAACTCTTCAATATCACTCTATTTCCTAACAAATAAACTAATCAACTTTTGTTGTACTTTTCTTTTTTATTTCATTATTCGTAGCTCAGCTTAAACATCCTCGTTCACACTCCTCATTTTCTTTCTTACCATCTCATCATGAAAGTACAGGGCTCAATCTGGGAAACTAATAATTCTACAGAGACAGTTTTTATATCATAATGTAGCAAACTTTGTCTACTTTGAAAACGTTCTGAAAGAGTTTTTTTCAAAAACTAGTCCTTTCGGGTTATAATCGTCAAAAACTAAAAAAAATTTTCGCAGTTTTTTCGATTTTTGACAAAGTTGCGTTCGGCGCTCAAGGTCACAAACTTGTATTATTCATTAGGTCACCATCATGAACAAGTCTGCAAAAATTCAGAACTACCAGATTTGACGCATACTGTGATGTATAAAGTTACTGGATTATTGTTTTTTGGATCTATTTCTAGACAGCAACCATCAGATTGAATGACAACGTCAATTTAGCTATACACTGGGTATACATATTGTTACATCTCAAGGAATGAATCCCTGTTAGTGAACAGAGAGTTTTACTCTTACGATAATTGCGATATTTGTACGGTAATTGTAATATGTAGATTATACACATAAATATTGCGCATCTCTTGAAAACTGAATTTTTGAGTAACATATGAATTGTAGTTTGTTGAAATCTAGTCATTACTAGTGATTCAGGAAACCTCGCAATCGGGCGAGACAATATACAGTTTTTGGCCGAGGTGCATGATACATTTTTTTAGTCGACCTCGAAACACTTATTTCAACATCACGGTCCAATTCACACCTGAAATCTATCGGATTTCGTATAATGAATGAAAACACTGAAACAAAACGTAAAAAGCAGAATGACAATCTTGATGAGGTACTAACAAAACATTTTGAGGGTAAAAACTACAAGTTCAAATTTTTAAACTCATTGTCTTTTCAGATTTGCCTTTGACATTCTGATGGACGACGCAGATATTCATCTTCAATGAAAAAATGTGTCCTAAAATTGTACTTTCATTCACTTTTTTATTCACTTCTCATTCACCTTCTAATAGTGAAATGTTTATGGAAAAATAGGTACTCTTGAAAATTATGCTTGAAACCAGGTACTCGATACCATTCTTTTCATTCTTTTAAATTTTTTCTATACTTTTTCTACCTTTTCTCTATTTCTTCAGATAGTGCTGAGACATTGAGCTCCGCTCACCCTGTACAATATATATTGTGACATTCGAATGAGAATATATAATTTCAATTTTGTATTCATTTGTCTTCCTTATCCTGTAAGAACAAAAGTGGAATTCCACTTTTGAGTCAATAAAAAAATCAATATTTATTTTCAAATAATAATTGATTGCAACATTATCGTTTTTCCTGAATAAATATTTATATTTAATCACATATACTCTCAAATGTTACCAAAAAACAAGAAAATATTTCAAATAATGCGAGCGCTTCCCATTAGCCAACATGAGATAGAAAGAGATAGGTATCCGTAACCACTGCGGGTTGCCTAAACAATATTTTTGCCTCAATCGTCGTTCACAGAGGATCCCTTCCAGTTGTTTATATTGAGTTCATTGGTCACTCCAGACAAGTTGAAAACATTTGGATAATACTTTTCCAGGTTGTTGAATTGGCCGTCGAGGTCCTACGGAATGGCCAGCCCGCTCGCCAGATTTGACACCTTCAGACCTTTTTTATTCTTTCATCAAGGGAATCAAGGCAACCATTTGGAGCATCTTCTGAACTGAACTCAGTTTATTTCCTCAAATTATGTAGTAAACGTCGATGTATTCAGGCAATTATTGAATGTTCCGCTTTTTGTAGTAGTTGAAGATATCGACTTTATATTCCAGGGTTGTGAAGTATTCGTCAGGAGCTTCAAGAACATGTATCACAAGCCCCCCCTTTCCATTTAATTTTTTCCCTACATGGCGCCTAGTCGCCATCTTGAAATTTTTTCTGTCAATTTCAAATTCAAATTTGCCATCCAACTGATTGACACAGCCTAACGCAGCACATTTTACCCAAGGTCTATTAACTTCTATAAGGTTACCTCATAGTATAGCATTATGGTGCGGGGGTGCGCGGAGGGGCGTGACGTCACTGTTTCCCCGCCACGTGATTGTAGATTTCGTTTTGTGTCACTGTCAAATGGATTGAAAAAATTTTTGAATTTGAATTCGAAAGAATCGCGAATTTCAAGACTTTAGTTGAAAACATGGTGACAAGGAGACTGAAGATATCTTTGAAAAAGGGTGAGAGGTTGTATAATAATATGGTGTAGTATTATTCAAGGCTGGTCACATCATAATATTATTATATGTGGAATCAAGAGTGGATATATAGAACATGTCTAGAACAAACAAATGTTATAAAATGCCTGTGTTCACAATCATCTGCTCTTGGACAGCCTCCAGATGAGATACAAATAATTCCAAAGGAAAATGATGAGCTGTGGCAATGTAAAAATGTCCCTGTGAAGCAGGCATGTCATGGTTTTGTAAACACATTTTATAGCGACTAATATTGATAGGTAGGAAGGTGCACTTTTGATCTATCACACACAGGTAAAAAATACATGAAATTTCAGGAATGAAGACTTGAAATATGTGAAGCTGCATATATAACACACAGAAGTGGTGAAAATAAAAAAGAGAGTAGATGAATCAAAGATCTATTATACAGCAAAACCATTTCAATAGTTCTGCTACCCACTTAATAAAATAAGGAAAGTGACCCCCTAAAATCATTCTCCTTTTATATAATTCAAGTTAATTTTACAGGGCATATCAGACTATTTTGTTTTCTGTTTGGAAGCCAATGAACTCAATGTAAACAACTATAGCTAGCTATTGCATGGTACTCAGGAACACAGGTGAGTTTAAGTTTATTAAATTTTAACATACCATATCATGAAAACTGTATACTTACATTAATTTTGAATTATTTTGGGCTATACTTGCTACTTCATTTTCACATGTAGCAAGGAGACTTGGGAAAAAAGGCAATCAACTTCTTCTTTCCAAAGGATTTTTCAAATAAATTTGTTCAGCATGGAGTTGAATATGAATCCAAAGCTCTTTCAAAATGTTCATTGAGAATAATATTGAATTTCAAATCATGATGCAAACAAATTTGTGTCCCAATATTTTCCATGGTTAGGATTTTATCCATATGAAATTATTTTTCAGGAAGGAAGACCATGGAAATAATTGAAAGAAGTGTCCTTACTGAGGTCCTCACATAGAGGTTTGTTAAATAATGTGTATAACATTCAGCTTGAATTATTTTCTCAAAATTGTAGGTAAAGGTCCAGAAAATTTTGTGGAACAATGCCATTTCTTGATAGGAGATGGTATAAAAATTGTGAAGTTGGAAGAGAGACACACTTATTATGGATAAATTCAGTTGGGAATAATGGTCCTAAAATGTCCCTAATGAACTTGAAAGAAACTAATTTTCTTGTATAATTCTTCTTTCTCCAAAACTTACATACCAATTTCAGTTAATTTTATGAAAAATTTTGTGTTAATCTGAGGAAGATATCCTAAAGATTATGTTGCACTTTTATTGCATTAATAAAATGGAATGAATTGTGATGACTTCTTTATTGATTCATTTTCTTATTATTTCATTTTCAAACAATAATGTTCCAAATTGATACTGAAATGAAACCATTGTTTTAGAATCATTCAATTTATCCAGAAGAAAATCCTCTTTAGTTAATTGTTTCTTGTTTCTCAGAAATGATGGCCCTATTATCAATTTCAAGCATTTTTTTTCACATCCCTTGTCAGCATGCCCTTATCCACCATGATTCCATCATTAGGTTCAGACTTCCCAATAACATTTTCCTTATTAAAAAATGCTTCATCAGTAGCTCAACCTCCTTAAATGCCAACAGTAATCAGTCCTGATGGAGTGATATTGCAATAAGGATCTGACTGAGTTTCTGTAATATGTCTGTACAGCAGGAGCACTGAGGAACATATCTTTCTAGATTTCTGTTTTCAGTCTTTTGTACTTGCTGCTTGTTTTGGGAAAACAGTGAACAATCTCGTGGATACAAAAACAGATTGGAAAACTTCAAAATTTATGAAAATTTACTTTATTGCACAATGCTGAATTTGTTTGTTTTGTTTTTCACCTCCGCTATTTTCATTTTGCCGTTCGACAAAAGACGATGGGGAAACAGTGACGTCAGGCCAGGTCAATATGAGGCAACCTTATAGAGTTAAATAGCCTTGCATTTTACCATCCTTCCAAAACAGAATTGAATAATGTCGTATATTAGGATGAAGTATGAAATTAAAATTTTGTAAGATCTCTTTAAACGCCTATGAATGTGACGTGACAGCAATGTCATATCAGGGACGCCAATACACGAAACCAAAGTCACTAGATGATTAATTATTATTAATTAATGATTATTATTTTCCTCCTGTCTGTAGGCACAAGTTCGTATGATAGTGGCGGGCATTGTCATAAAATACTTACCCAGACATCTGCCAGGCGGCGAACATCATTGGCGTCGCGCAAGTGGGCGCGAACGCGATCCACACGAAGATGGCGTAAGTGACGTCGAAATGGCCGCTGTTGTCGTAGGTCTCGATGAGCGCCAATCGGGCCAATCGCAGGATCATCAGCGGACACAAACAAAGGCCGAACGCTGTCACGACGGCGACGAGGAACTTCTGTGTGCGCATCTCCTTGGCGAGGTCGAGGTCGCGGTCGCGCGGGGTCTCGTAGACGGCGGCGCGACCGCCGTTGCTGGTGGTGCCGAGGTGGTCGAAGTCGCTGCAGCTGCTGCGGCTGTACTGGCTGGAGCGGTCCAGCTTGCTGCGCGAGTTCCTGCAAGAGATGAACAATAAATTATACATGGTGTCCCAATAAATTCAACACACGTACACACAATGGATGTCCGATGGATGTCCACATTACGAATATCCATTGGACGTCCGATTATGTCCAGAAGGACATCCAATCGATATCCATCGGATGTCCATTTGCAACTAAATTGGACATTAAATGGATGTCCATTTCGATTGAGGTGATGGGTATATCTTAAAAGTGAAAAGAAAATTTGGTGGCGTTTGGGATTCGAACACGCGATATTTGACTTATCAAGCAGGTAATCTACTCCACTGGCAATTATGCTTATTCTTACGAACATACAGAGTGTCTCATTTCAAACGGCCCCCTCTTTATATCTCAGCTATCAGTCATGCGATCTTCACCAAAGGACCCCGCACTAAACTATAGGGAAAATGGCTCTTGATGAAAATCGCTGAATTCTTGGTATGTTGCAAACTTTGATATACTGAACAGATATTCCATTGAACTAACCTCAAAAAATGGACAGTTTTTCCGATATTGGCCTCCAAATGTCATTTTCTCGATAAAAAAAAGTATTTGAAAATGGTTGAATTTTTGGCATGTTGTAGATAGGAATGAACTAATGAAAAAATCCAATTGACCAAACCTCCAAAAATTGACAGTTTTCTCGATATTGACCTCCAAATGTAATTCGTTCAAGAAAAAAAATCTCTGAAAATTGCTGGATTAAGAAGGTAGATTAGATTAGATTAGATTTGGAATGGGGCCTTCGAGCTATCTGCCTCCGCACTGCGACCTTTTCAGATCTATTGTGCCTGCCCTCAAAATGGATTAGAGTTCTTCGGCTAGCCCCGCCTTCTCTATGAGACTCCATAGGCTAGCTTTCAGATCTCCTGTGTATCTCTGGGCTCCTGGTTTTTCCTCACCCAGCGTAAGGAATCTTAGTCTTGACAAGGAATGATCAAAATATAATAGATACATGGCATGAATTCGACTAGTGTGTATACCTACAACCCCATTGACTTCGTAAAGACTATAACCGTAATTTAAATAATCTATATTTCATCACATCCTCTCTTCGGCTTCCTTCGATCATCTGTGGATGTATCATATGAAGAATATTTGTTTTCAGAAGAATGAAATGCCGAATACTAATTCGAAAACAGCAACTTCATTATTGTTCTATTCATCTTATTTTCCATACGTACATTTGGAGGTCAATATAAAAAACTGACAATTTTTTGAGGTATGGTCAATCGGACTTTTTCATCACTTCAGTCCTATCTACAACATACCAGAAATTCAGCCATTTCCAGAGATTTTTTTCCTTGAACAAATTACATTTGGAGGTCAATATCAAAAAACTGTAAATTGTTTGTGGTTTGGTCAATCGAATTTTTTCATCAGTTCATTCCTATCTACAACATACCATGAATTCATTCATTTTCAGATACTTTTTTTCCTTGAAAAAATTACATTTGGAGGTCAATATCGGAATAACTGTCCATTTTTTGAGGATAGTTCAATGGAATATCTGTTCAGTATATCAAAGTCAGCAACATACCAGAAATTCAGCGATTTTCATCGAGAGCCATTTTCCCTATAGTTTAGTGCGGGGTCCTTTGTATCGGTATGAATAATCATCAATATGACCAGTTCTTCAAAGACAAACATCATTTTAGACGGTGCCTTGCATTTTTATTGAAATGAATATATTATTAAATCATAATATTGTTCTTCATGGTTTCAAACCCACATAATATGTGGATTTTCATAAGATGCCTATGAAGGGTTTCAGAAATACAGGCACATCTAAACAGCATTTTTGCAATCGTAATAATTATTTACTCGGAAACGGAGAGTTCAACATAAAAAAGTATAACTCGTTTTTCCTTCCAAATCATGATTTTCCACCTACCGGAGCCATTCGAGACTGGAAATAAAAAAAATGAAGGCAATCCTGTTAATACGGAATAAGGTGATTTTTTGCATATGGAGGTTTTCAAACATGAGGAACAATAATTAGAGGTTAGATTTCCTGTAAAAGAATGCCTAATATGATTTTATGAAAAATCGACCCCTTTTTAGTTTAATAAAAACGCACGGCACTGTTCAGAATGATGTACATCTCTGTAAAACTGATCGTATTGATGATTATTCATACCACACCAAATTTGGTGGGAATCGCATGACTATAATAACTGAGATATAGAGGGGGGGGGGCCGTTTGAAGTGAGACACGCTGTATGTTCAGAATATTTATAGAGAAAGAGTAATCCTCATGGAAAATGAAATTATATATCAGTGTAATATTGATTGCAGAAACTTATTTATTTTTATGAAACCACTGAATGTTGGGTCGTATTCACTACTTTGAATAGACATCTTATTCAAGTGAGCATATTCCGCAGTTCCTCTGCCAATGAAATAGGTACACTTGTCTTCAGCGAACATGTCGCGGTTGGACGGTATGATCGCTCTTATTGCAGCGGTGATCAGGGAGCTGACACCGTCCATGTGGTACATGATCTCTGAAGACGAGTGTACCTACCACTACAAAACTTTTGCTGCCTTCAAATTTGTTTTTTCTTTATATCACATGAAATTGGAAATATTCTTACAATAAACTCACTATTCGAATGTAAAGAATTAATCAATAGACAAATGGTATATATCGTGGTATATTTCGATTCGACCAAAGGATGTACAAAGGAAGTCCAATGGACGTCATATGGACCAAGAATGGACATCATATGGATATCCTGTGTTTACTGGGGAAATTGCTAGGACACAGAGCTACCACGTGTTTTTTTATCGCTTGAAGCGCACGAAAGGGAATCCCTATAATGTTCAAAGAACATCGTGCGTTTCCAGGGAGGATAGGGACAGGAGGTGGGTATTGGATATTTTTCAACTTCTGGAGATTATATGTTGTTGGGAATACTTCCACAGGCAATGAATTCCAAAGCCTAGCCGTTCTATAGATGAAGGAGTCTTGATACAGTGCTGTTCGACATCTTTCGAGGTTGACAACGAAAGAATGTGCTGACTGGGCTTGTCTAGTTCGTCTGACTGGTATTGCTAGTGAAGAGATGATAGCAGAGATTTCCGAAGAACATTTCCCGTGGAAGTATCGATAGAAAAGTGAAAGGTCGCCGACCTTTCTACGGTGTTCCAATGATGTCAAAGAGTGAGTGAGTGTGGCGACACCCACCAGGCGAATGGCTCTTCTCTGGATGGAATCTAAGAGCATCAGCGTATGTTTTGGTGCTGAGCCCAATATGTGGGGACAGTATTCTAGAACAGATCGTATCTGCGCTTTGTAGATCATGAGAAGCTGTTGAGGTGTAAAGTAGCTTTTCGCACGGAACAAGAATCCGAGTTTTTGTGAAGCAGCTTTTGCGATGGATCTGACATGATTATCCCATGAAAGAGTGTTGCTGATGGAATACCGAGCATAGATATGGTGGGCTTGGTGGAGATGGTGGAGCCATCAGACATTACAATATCGGGTACACTGAGTTCCGCCTTTCTAGAGAAAATACAGGCTTGAGTTTTGGTGGCGTTGAATTCAACTAGGTTGTTGGTTCCCTAGGCTGTGATTTCAGCAAGATCTTCATTGACAGCATTGACCTGCCTGCGTTGTGAGTTCTTAGTTTCCTGGGAAGAAATGGGAATTCTGGAAGAGAACGCAGTATGGAGGGTACTATCATCTGCAAAGCTGTGGATGGGGCAAGTTGTTACTCCCAACAGATCATTGATATGAAGAAGGAATGATGTTGGTGCCAAAATTGATCCTTGTGGAACGCCGGAATGGATGCCAATGGTATCAGACGACGATAGAAGTAATAGAAGTCAATAAATCGATTGGACCCAATTTATTTATATATATCAAAATGTACCGTTCGTCCGCGGGGAGAAAGAGTTCTAAGTTAACATAGACAATACATTTTTGTTCGCTGTTCAGAAATGAGTGGAACAAATTTAATGAAATTTGACAAACGTGAATTTTGGAGGATCACTCTCCTTTCAGTTATAGATTCTCAATTTTTTTACGACGAGACAGATTAATTATCTCCATTTTGTTACTCTTGTGCAAACATGTTTTATTGTATAATGCTAACATATATTCCCAGTACAAGTTCAATAACATTGTAATACAAAATTCAGTTGACAGAAGAAATGAAGGCAGAACGTTTTCAATAATAAATGTTCAATATGATGGTCACCTTCATCAATATACTTACAAAGGTTACGTTGACGTAAAAAATTCAAATGCACCTGTTTAAATAAATTATTCTGACCTCTATTACACATGGAAGCTCTGTGTCCCAGCAATTTTGGGACACCCTGTATAATTGGATTCAAATCCATGGGTTGTAGGTATACCATATCGAATATGGCACAAAATTAGCGATCAAAATATGATTTCGGGCACACGTTGAGAGTGGTTGGAACGTCTCTGAATATACACTCCGGCCGGCAAAAAAAACCGGCCACCAAATAATTTAGCCAAATTGTTTGCTCTGTAACTTTTTCAATTCTGGTCCAATTTTGGCGAAATTCTGACCAAATCGTAGATTCATGTTTCCAAATATTATCCCAAATATTAGTTCCTAAGGAAATCTGATTACTCGATCATTATACAGGGAAAAACGAAGTTGTTTTTCACCCTTAACTTCTTAACGCCCTGTGGGAAAAGTGAGTGGTTTAACTCAGCTTCATTATGTTTTAGATTGAAGAGTGATCTCTTCTCTACATCATGGTTTTTTATTCACGTCGATAACCATTTTTTAAAGGAAGATACAAGTGTTTCAAGAGAGTACATATTCTTAAAAAAAATTATTTACAATAATTCAGAACCATTCTCCAAAATGTTGTAAACTGAAGTGTGATCCTCTTTTCTTCCGGTTCTTGAATAACGTCAATATCTCCTTTTTGAGAGAAGATACAAGTGTTTCAAGAAAGTATAGATTTTTCTAATTTTCAATAACAATAATTCA